GTACTATTTGAGTGCTGCTGTATATAAAATAGCACTTTAAGACTGTTTAAGAGAAAGAAGACTTTAATTATTATCTGGTCAAATAGTCCCTCCTTTCCTGTTTTTTCCCCTTTTCATTCCAAAACTGCACATCTATGTTCTGATTACCATCAATTTTAAATTACTGAGGAGAATTAACAGTGTGGGAAAACACAGTTGTAGAGTACCTACTGTATATCAGCCAGCATGCTAATCACTCTGTGTATTCCATTTAATCCTCACAGCACACTTCCAAGTTTAATGCTATGCTAATTTTATAGATCAGAAAATCCAGGCTTACATAGGCTAAGTAATTTGCTCAAGGTCACAAAGCTAGTAAGTTGTAGAGCCACGTGTGTTGCTTGTTTATTGCTATAGACTTCCCTTCTTATTAAGACAGCTAATAAATATTTAAAATTTCAGCACTGCCTCAAAATTGCCGTGGCATAGATAGAACTCTAAATTCCCTCCAGTCATTCTTTGCCTATATTTAAAAAAAAAAAATTATTGAAAACATTTCCCATTGCTGTAGTTGGTTTGGGTCAGTGGATAGAGCGTAGGCCTGTGGACTAAAGGGTCCCAGGTTCAATTCTAGTCAAGGGCATGTGCTCTGGTTGCAGGCTCAATTCTCAGTAGGGGGTGTGCAGTAGGCAGCCAATCAATGATTCTCATCATTGATGCTTCTCTCTCTTTTTCTTATCTGAAATCAATAAAAATATATTTAAAAAAAAATTCCCACCTTTGACTTTTTAGACCATTAAAATAATTTTCTCTATACAGTCAAGCATTCTGCGGCTTCATTTTCTACATATTTAGGGAATCTCATAGCCTCTTAATTTTTTCTCATCAGTTCCCTAGAGCATTTGTAATGTGCATAAAATGCTAGTTTTGTCACCACCTTTAGCTCTGTAGTCAGAGCTGTGGTGAGAGGAGGGTGAATTTGAAGAAATTCTCTTAAATGAGAAGATTGGAGGTGGTCTAAGAAGTCTCTGGAGGCACAAGGTGGATCAGGAGGGAACAGTAAGCTAGAAGGATGCACTGTGTTACCCTGGGAGCTGAGTGTCACACCCCAGCTTGGTCATGTCCTTACTGCCCCTCTGCAAGATGTTTAGCCCCTCTGAGGCTCATTTTCTTCACCTACAAAATGAGGATCATAATCCTAACATCATAGTTCTGAAGATTCAATTAGATAACATGTAAAATGACATAGTTCTTGACAAATTGTAGCTTTGGTTTACTTTAGAAGTAATTTATTTACATTTTATAAGGGAGAGGGGAAAGTTCCCATGATGCAGGAGAAATGCTGATTCGTATGTCTCCTGAACCATGTATGTTGGTAACAATTTTTAAAAAATAGTTTTATTGATTTTTTAGAGAGCAAGGAAGGTAGAGGAATAAAGAGATAGCAATATCAAGGAGAAATATCATTGATTGGCTGCCTCCTGCATGCCCCACACTGGGGATTGAGCCTGCAAACCGGGCATATGCCCTGACCAGGAATCAAACCAGGGACCTCTTGGTTCATGGGCCGGTACTCAACCACTGAGCCACAACGGCCAGGTAGTAATGAATTTTTTAAAAGTTAAACCCTGAACAAGTTAACTACATGTCTGTGGGGCTCAGTTGACCTATGGTCCAGCACTGACACTCTCTTGTTCTGGAACACATGCATTTCTAGCAGCTCCGTGGTTGACCCACCCTGGCACCCTCCCCTGTGGAACAGTATCTTCTGACCAGACACCACTTGCCAGGCTCTCCTCTAAGCATTTTGCATCTATTTGTTCATTTTAATCCTCACAACAACTCTGTGAGGTTGAACCTGAGGTAGGATATGTGGCAGAACAGCTGCAATTTATAAAGTTACAGGAACTGCTAAGAATTAAGTGCCCTCCTCCCCACTACCAGATTTATGGCTTAAAACTGGCAGAGACAGGATGGATCCAACATGGCAACTAATGTCACCTAATAATAACCCTACCCTCATTACACACTCATTGTAATACATTGGCATGCAAAGCACACCCATTTCGGGATCAGAAATGAAAAGCCCATATATGGACATAAAATAGCAAGGGAGTTCTTCTGAGAGTTCTCCACCCCTTTTGTAGGAAGATCCTACTTCACTAAAACACTCACTTTCCTCTAAACTCCGTGCTGGCTTGATTTTGAATTCTTTCCTGTGCGAAGCCAAGAACCCATAGTGGCCTCAGACCCTCATGGACCCTGGGGTGCCCAGACCTCCGGAACGTCTGCATCAGTGTGACTGTTATCCTCCTTTACAGATGATGGAATGAGTCACAGGCAAGTGAGTGGTCCAAGACCCACAGCAGCAGCAGAGCTGGGACCAGGATTCTGATGTAGCCACCCTGGCTCTTGATCACCACACCGTGTGTTCTGACATAGGTACCTCCAGAAGGAGAATAAAAGATGCATTTCTGACCATTTTTAAATTAAGAGGGCTGAAACCTGTTTGGCTTAGTGGATAGAGTGTTAGCCTGCGGACTGAAAGGTCTCAGGTTCGATTCCGGTCAAGGGCATGTACATTGGTTGTGGGCACATCCCCAATAGGGTGCAGGAGGCAGCTGATCGATGCTTCTCTCTCATCGATGTTTCTCTCTCATCGATGTTTCTAATTCTCTATCCCTCTCTCTTCCTTTCTGTAAAAAATCAAGAAAATATATGTTTTAAAAATTAAGAGGAAGATTTGGATGATTGAGTCCAGTACAACCCTCTCCCCAGTTCTCCTTATAACAATCTGGGCTTAACCTTGGGAGCGGAGGGGGAGGCTGGTTCTGGCATCTGACTTCCTCTGCTTTCTTTTGAAGGAACCAAGCTGAAAGCCCCCATTGTGCTCATCCTCTGCCCCCGCCCCCTGCCCTGCTAGAAGTCCTGAGCAAGGCTCCAGCCTGGAGGCCTATAGAGGAAAACTCCTCATTAGCAATGCATTGATTTGTGACCGCACTTTTATAAAAAGAACAGCTTTAATAAAGGCTTCTGCAGCTTCTTCTTTTAAGTGTAGTGTTTGCGGTTATGTGCAGAGCACTGAAGAGGAATTAACTTTTAGATGGCACAAGGAATCGTCAGATGTGTTGCTGCTAGCACTTCTTTTTCGTTGAGGATAAGGGTGAAAAGAATGTTAAATTTCAGAGAGGATTATCAGGAAACAGAATTTCTTCTCAGTTGATGAAACACAGACTAAAGGGGCGGGGGCATCTTTCACCTACTTCCGACTTCAATATTCCATATGATGAAAACATCGTATTATCTGAAAAAAGAGTGGAAACCTGTCATTTTAGTCTTGCACTAAAAACCCTATAACTCTGTTCAAGAGAGGAGACCAGGACCAGGTAAAAATTTCTGGTCAGATGAAAGGAAGGCTCAGCTTTAGTCACTCCAGTCTAGGAGCTTACCATGTGCCAGACACAGTCCATACATTATCGTATTTATTCTCACTTCACATCCACGAGGTAAGCATTCTTTTCCCTGAGGTGTTGGGACAAGGCAGTCATCCTTAATTCCCTTCCACTTCCATGTTCCCGTTCTCCACCCCCACACGCTAACCAGTAGCTTCAGAGACAGGAGCTACTTAGAGGTGGCAGTCGTTTGGAAAGTGGGCCAAGGAAAGGAAGGAGAGGATTTTTCCTATAATTCTGTTAGCAGAGCAAGTATCTATTTTGATTTTTTAAAATTTTATTTTATTGTTTAAAGTATTACATATAGTAGTGAATATATCTCCTTTTTTCCCTCATTGACCTTCCTCCAGCCTTCCCCACCCCTATCGCATGCTCTCATCTCCCCCTGACCCCAATATCTTCTGTCCATTGGTTATGCTTATATGCATACATACAAGTCCTTTGATTAATCTCTTTCCCTCCCTCCCCAACACCCCCCAGCCTTCCCACTGTAATTTGACAGTCTGTTCGATGCTTTACTGCCTCTGTATCTTTCTTTTTGTTTATCAGGTTATAATGCTCTTTATTTTCCATATTTTCTATAAATGAGTGAGATCATGTGGTATTTTTCTTTCACTGCCTGGCTTATTTCACTTAGCATAATGCTCTCCAGTTCCATCTATGCTGCTGCAAACAGTAGGAATTCCTTCTTTTTTTACCACAGCGTAGTATTCCGTTGTGTAGATGTACCATAGTTTTCTAATCCACTCATCTGCTGATGGGCACTTAGGCTGTTTCCAAATCTTAACTATGGTGAATTGTGCTGCTATGAACATAGGAGTGCATATGTCCTTTCTGATTGGTGTTTCTAGTTTCTTGGGATATATTCCTAGAAGTGGGATTACTGGGTCAAATGGGAGTTCCAATTTTTGTTTTTTGAGGAAACTCCATACTGTTCTCCACACTGGTGGAGAAGCAGTGTCTGTTTCATTTTGCCTATTGATTTAGGAGGATAGTAGGAGGTAATGGGCGAGCTAGACCTCCCAGCTCCTCAATCCACCTTTTTCTGCCACCACCACCTTCATATTAAGTCCAGACTGTGCACTTGGCATTTCAATATTCTTACCTTCCTTTCCTCCCTTACTGCTTTTGCTTTTGCCTTTATTTTCACCCTTACTCATCTGACTTCATGTTGGTATCCTCAGCTAGACTTCTTGCTTTCAGTCCCATCCACGTGTCCAGTGCACTTTCCACACTGATGCTGATAGAAATGTGTTTATTGTGCTCCTTAAATATTACTCATTGCTTACAGAAAGAGGTTGAGTAAAAAATAAAGGTAGATCTCAGTAAGGCTCACCTAATCAATATTACATTAGCCAGGCAGCTATAGTTTTGAAAGTTGTGAAGGCAACAGAAATGTGAATCCTTGTTAAGAATCAGAGGTCCAGAGTGTCCAGGCTCTTTAGTCTGGCACAAGGCCCTCCATGATGTAGCCCATGTTTGGCTCTCTAGCTTCACTTCTCACTCCATCTTCCCTTACTTTATGTTCCCGTCATACCAATGTACCCAATATCCCTCAATTTACCCTGTTCCTGCACCCCACTGGCCCATCCTTCTATCGGGCATTGCTTCTTTTATTTTTTCCTTGATGTCTTAGGGTGAACTCATGTTTAATCTCATCCCAGGAATCACTTCCCAGTGGAAATGATGGCCCTATCTCGTTGGGGTCTCCACTGTACATCTATGTTCATCTGCACCACCAGTGGGTTGATTTGTTTAAATGGCTGCTTCCCATGATGGGTCCTGAGTACATAATGTTCATGGTTATTAAGTGTTTATTAAATAAAATGAATATACTTTACAATTAGTCCAAGGTCACATGGGACACCAGGACTATCAAAATCTCATGTTCTGTTCTGCTTCCCCATAAGAAACTATGACATAGAAATACTAGGTAAATTGTGGACATACTAAAGCACCCTCCTCTTTTTTTATATATAGTATATTTTACTGATTTTTTTTTATAGAGAGGAAGAGAGAGGGACAGAGAGTTAGAAACATCGATGAGAGAGAAACATTGATCAGCTGCCTCTTGCACAACCCCTATTGGGGATATGCCCGCAACCAAGGTACATGCTCTTGACCAGAATTGAACCTGGGACCCTTCAATCCGCAGGGTGACACTCTATCCACTGAGCCAAACGGATTTTGGCAAAAGCACTCGCCTCTTGATGATGACCCAAGAGAACCATCCCAATGCATACCTGCTTAAAAGATGTTATATTCATGCTATAGGAATAATTGGTACCTTGCTTTTCATTTAATATTACATTAATATATTGTGATTAAATGTTATTTGAAGAAATATTTATGTAGCTGAATTATATTCATTATATTTTTATTATATTTTTAACCCAGTGTTTTTCAAACTGTGACTCACAACCCCTTTAATGGATTGCAATAACACTCAAAAAAATGAAAGTGGTTGTATTGTATGTAGTGAAGTATGTATTGTCTCATGAAGATATGTATTATCTTATAAAGATTTGTTTCAGATTATCTATCTGTCTATCTATCTAGCTATACACTGAGTGGCCAAATTATTATGATCTCTGAACGTATAATAATCTGGCCACTCAGGGTATATCCTATATAATAAAAGGCTAATATGCAAATTGTCTCATCGACCAGGAGTTTGATCAGCAGGCGGGCTGGCCAACTGCCCATGTCCCCTCCCTCTGGCCAGGCAGGCCAGACCCCACCCATGCACAAATTCATGCACCGGGCTTTACACACACACACACACACACACACACACACACACACACTGAGTGGCCAGATTATTATGCATTCAGAGATCATAATAATCTGGCCACTCAGTGTATATCTGTTTATACACATGCAAATGTGTGTTTGGCATATGATTATATATATAACTAGAGGCCCCATGCACAAAATTTGTGCACAGGAAGGGTGTGTCCCTCAGCCCCGCCTATACCCTCTTCAATCTGGGACATCCCTCTCACAATCCAGGACTGTAGGCTCCCAACCTCTAGCCTGCCTGCCTGCCCCTAACTGCTTCTGCCTGACAGCCTGATCATCGCCTAACCACTCTCCTGCCAGCCTGATTGACACCTAACTGCCCTCCCCTGCTGGCCTGGTCTCTCTTCCCCCCTGCCACCCCTCCCCCCCAACTGCTCTTCCCTGCAGGCCCTGTTGCCCCAACTTCCTTCCTCTGCCATCCTGATCATCCTTAACTGCCCTCACCTGCAGACTTGATTGCCCCAAACTGCTCTCCCTTGCAGAACTGGCCCATCCCCTGCTGGCTATTTTGTGATGGCCATCTTGTATCCACATGGGGGCAGCCATCTTGTGTGTTGGAGTGATGGTTGATTTGCATATTACTTTTTTATTAGATAGAATAAAGGCCTGGTGCATGGGTGGGTGCCGGCTGGTTTGCCCTGAAGGGTTCCTGGATCAGGGTGGGGGTTCCCTTTGGACATGGGGTAGCCTGGGCAAGGGGCCTGTGGTGGTTTGCAGGCTGGCCATGCGCCCCCCCCCCCCCCACCCGGCCATGCCCCAATTGGAGGCCTTGGTATCTGGGATTTATTTATCTCTTATAATTGAAATTTTGTAGCCTTGAACAGAGGCTAGGGCAGGCCAGGATGGGAGGAAAACTTGGCTTCCTCCATCGCCGGGGAAACCCAAGCCTTTTGCTCTCTCTGTGGCCGTAGCCATCTTGGTTGGGTTAATTTGCATACTTGCTCCTGATTGGCTGGTGGGTGTGGCAGAGGTATGGTCAATATGCATATGACTCCTTTAATTAGGAAGGATAGTAATAAAAGTTCAGAAACTATTTTTTAAGCATTCTCTCACAGGGGAACATTTAGGTTATTTGCATTTTTTTACTATTATAAATAATACTGTAATGGATTTTTCTGTGGATAATTTCTTTTTTAAAAAAATATGTTTTGCTGAAACTGGTTTGGCCCAGTGGATAGAGCATTGGTCTGCGGACCGAAAGGTCCCAGGTTCGATTCTGGTCAAGGGCATGTATTGTGATTGCAGGCACATCCCCAGTAGGGGGTGTGCAAGCGGCAGCTGGTTGATGATTCTCTCTCAACAACGCTTCTAACTCTCTATCCCTCTCTCTTCCTCTCTGTAAAAATCAATAAAATATATTTAAAAAAATAATAAAAATAGTATGTTTTTATTGATTTTTTACATAGAGGAAGAGAGAGTAATAGAGTTAGAAATATCAATCAGTTGCCTCCTGCACACCCCCCACTGGAGATGTGCCCACACCAAGATACATGTCCTTGACCAGAATCGAACCTGGGACCCTTTAGTCTGCAGAATGACGCTCTATCCTGAGCCAAACTGATTAGGGCTGTGGATAATTTCTTGAGTTTTTTTTTCCTAGAAAATATAAATATGGCAAATAATGGGGTCAAAGAATATGAACTTGTTTAGCCTCCTGATATCTTCTACCAAATCATTATCTAAAAAGATTATAGCAAGTTACCCCACCGGTGACAACATATTATGAACTCTGGTGATTTTTGCAGAATTGGCCCCTGAGTAATGAAAATCCCCAGGCATCAGATGGGGGAGAGAGCATCAGATGGCAGAGAAAGCAGAAACCCATTCCAGGAAAGGAGTGCGTGCTGGAAGGGCCTATGATTTGGAGGAACAGAGGGTAGTGTTGGGTGTGGGTGGTTGTTGAAAACCACAGGCATATGCTAACAGGGCTTGGATCCAGGGTGCAAGGCTTTATGTGCCTCGCTAAGTTTTTTATCCTTATTTTCTGAAAACAGGAACACCAAAAGTTTTGAAAGCAGAAAGCAAAGTGGTGGGGGGTCTATAATATTGAAAAACTTAGTTTTAGAAACCAGTTAGGAGACTATTTACATAATTCATGTAAAAAAAAAGCTGAGAAAATGAACTAGAGTCATAATGGTGAGGATAGAAAGGAGGTACCACTTGAGAGATGCCTCTTACATAGAATAACATGGCTTGAGGGTTTGTCATTGAATGGCTATAGTCAGTAATGGAAATTGGACCCAGTTAGTTTGCGGAGAGTGGATGGTAATAAAGCGCAAACCAGTCATGGGTCCCAGTAGAGAAATCATCAGACAACCTACCTGAAAGGGATGGGATCCTGGATGGCTCTGCAGCCCCTGGTCCTCACTCAGTGGTCTAAACCTCCCCATGCCTGGGTTTGGCTGCATTTCTGGAACAATTCGATCCTGGGACACAATCCAAGCACAAGGCCGTTGAGAAGCATACCTGTGTTTTCACCATGCCATATCCTTCTCAAAAACTCAGGAAGCCACTTCTGATGGACAAAACTTAGAAAGCAATACCTTTGGTGGAGGAATGTTTGGATTCGAGATTCTGACTGGAAGAAGGATTATGAAAAACTGTGCTATTTAAATACAATATTTATGAATGCTGAGGAAATGACAAGGGCTCAGGGAAAAGGCAGGATTGCCTACTGCTAAATCTCATTTTCTCATTATGTAGGTCTGTTTATTAAATAAGCTGAGATATAAAAATAGAAGTTATTTACTTCCACTCATTAAGTGACTAAGGCAAACCTAGAAAGCTAAATTATGCAATCTCACAGTGTGGATATTTCCTCTTCTTCAAAATTCAGATAAAATAGGTCATATTCAGGATTCTGTTGTAAACTGGATATGAAAATATATGTGACATGTTTGGGAGGGTTTCTGTAAGCCTAGGCACCCTGGAGGTTTTGATTAGGAAAGCAGAACAGTATGAATGATATGGAATAGGAGTTTTATTACAGGGATCAGACCTTACACGATTGTGGAGAAAGCAGGATAAGTGAAAATCCATAAGAGGGGAAACTAGAGGATCGGAGAAAGAATCACTCATTGGGAACCACCGCTCACCTGTGGATTGACCAATGCATGTGCCAGCAGCCTGAAGTGCTAGATCAGAGGGACAGGCAGTTGGGAAAGAAACTCTGAATGAGGAAAGCAAGGAACCTGAAACTCATGACCATCTCCCTCTTTGGTTTTTATCAAGATTTCATTCATTATTTCCCCCCCCCCCCCCTGAATATTTATTTATTTTTAATTTATTTATTTTTAATATATAGATAGGATAGAGAACTAGAAACATCAATCAGCTGCCTACTGCACACCTCCTACTGAGGATGTGCCACAATCAAGGTAGATGTCCTTGACCGGAATCGAACCTGGGACCCTTCAGGTCACGGGCCTACGCTCCATCCACTGAGCCAAACCAGTTAGGACCCCACCAAATATTTATTAAGCACTTACTGAGCCAGAGATTCTTCTGGGCACTGGAGATGCAGCAGCAAACAAAAGGAAGTTTCTCCCCTCCAGGAAGTTTATATTCTAAAAATCGTACCACAGGGCAGTATTAGGAAAGCCATCGTGGGAGTATCAAATCATAGGCATGGATGGCACTCTCAGTTAACCAGGAAGTTCCATTATTTATCATGCTAGAGTCTAGATAAACTGGAGAGTCTGGCTTCGTGGCTATCCAGACCATTGAAGCTGCTTACCCTCTTTCTGTCAAAATTACCCACAACGGAACATGCACAGCTTATGCCAATATGTATCTATGACTCTGGTTCCTCTACAGTAGCAGAGTGTGTTCTGGACTTGGACACAGGAGATATAGCACTTGGCTGGCTAGCTGTGTGACCTTGACCCATTGACTTAACCTTTGCAACCTAGTTCCATTCTTGAAAAATGAATACTGTAATATCTGCCCTCCTCATTGCACAAGGTTGTTATAAGTTTCCAATGAGATTATACATATAAAAGTTACTTTGAAAAGTACAAAACAAAGTTATTAGTATCTCCCAGGGTCTTATATAGGCCTGAAAGGGCTTGTCCAGGCCTAAGGCAGTCAAGTTCATTACAACTTTTGTTTTGCAAAGAAGCAAAGAAGGCAGGGAGAGGATCATGTGCTATCAGGGGTACGTTGCATTGAGTGATAATCCTGAGGATTTGGGAATATCAAAGCACGACAGAACAAGAACAGCACTGAAAAATCTGCTTTACCATTCTGCCACTCCCAGCACTTAGCTCATAGGGGTCAGAAAGGTACTTCCTGATGCCAGTCAAGGAGGGTAGGTGAGGAGAAATACTCTGGTAAAAAGTTGTCTGCACGGTAACATGAAATGGTGCAATATTTTTCTGTTTTTTATTGTTTTGCCCAGGCTAAAATGTAGGTAGTGTCCTGTTATTACATGACATGCTTTACACAGATTCTCTAGATCACGTGTCAAACACAAGGCCCGCGGGCCAAATCCGTCCCGCAAGGCCTTGCAATGTGGCCCGCACCGCGCTGTCATCACTGCACTCCGCTGCGTTTCCATCACAATGACAGTTTATGACTGTTCAGTAAACCATTCGGCCCGCGATTTAGGCTGGATTTTAGATTTTGGCCCCTTCTCTGATTGAGTTCGACACCCCTACTCTAGATCCTGTTAGGTTTCAGGGATGATTATTCAGTAGCTCTAGGGCGACACTTGCTGCAAATTGTAGGAACTGCATCCTTAAAAATTCAACATTAGGATTTCCGCAGGCAAATGCCCTGTGAAGCTTTAGTAACTGCACCCACTGACCTTTCACGGAAAGCAGCCTCACTGTGCCAGAAAATACCATAGTCTTGTTAACTGATGTGTGGCAGACATCGAAAGCGGTGTTTTTCAACCTGGTTGAATGCCACGCTGGGCACTATGCTGCCCCCGTGTGGTGTAAGGGGCGTAGCAGGGTGCCCAGAGCTTAGAATTAATCAGGACCTGCCATTGAATTTTAGCCCTGCCACCTCACACCTCTGGAAGCTGTGGGTCATAAAACCTATCTTGCCCATGGGGCTGTCATGTGGGTTAGCTAACATGTATATGACAACTCTTTTTAAAAATGTGTTTTTATTGATTTCAGAGAAGGGAGAGTGAGGGAGAGAGAGAGAGAGTGAGAGAGAGAGACATCAATGATGAGAGAGAACCATTGATTAGCTGTCTCCTGAACACCCTCTACTGGGAATGGAATCTGCAATCTGGGCATGTGCCCTGACCAGGAATCGAACTCGTGACCTGTTGGTTCTTGGGTCGACACTCAAACACTGAGCCACTCCTGCAGGGCTGACAACTCTTTTAAATTGTGTATAAATGGTTGTATTAAGGCATCCTTGGGGATCTTACCCTCTTATGGAGCATAATATAAGCAATAAATGGTAACAATGCAAGACCCATACACAATATGGGTAGCAGAAATAATAATAGCAGCTAACATGCTGGTGGTTTTATACTGTGACAGTTTAGCTAAGCTGGGAATATGTCTCCCAGGGTTCCTTCCTCCTGCAGTCCTGGGTTAGGGTGGCCCAGGTGAAAGTAAGGTTCTAGGTTAGGGTGGGCATAGGAGGAAATAGGTTCTGGGTTAGGGTAGGCACAGAAGGAAGTAGATTCTGGGTTAGGGTGGGGAAAGGAGGAAGTCAGGTTCTGGGTTAGGGTGGGCACAGGTGGAAGTCACCCAGCAGCCCTGGTGCCAGGAAGGATGGGGTGGTGCATTGGCCATGCTGGCTGGTGCTGTTGTCAGGCTGATATGAGTTTATGGGAGTCAAGCGGCTCCGGGGCCCCCAGGGGCTGCTGCTGCTCAGGACCTCCTCCGCTCCTCCGAGTTCAGGGTGTGCAGTCAGTGGAGGCACCACATCCTTTTCGGGTCACCAGCAGGGTGTGGGTTAAAAGTGGAGAGGGATGGTGGTGGGATCCAGGCTCCTTGCTTTCCTCCGCTTTGGTTCAGTTTCTTCCCCAGCTGCCTCCCCTTCTGACCTGGCACTCAGGCCTCCGGCACCTGGTGAGGCTGCAGCCTTCCTCTGAGTAGGCAATCCGCGCTGAGCTGGGTCCCCAATGAGTGACTTTTCTGGGGTCCTCTGGCTTCCCCTTATGAATCTTCACTCACCCCGCTTTCTCCACAGGAGTGTAAGGTCTGATCTCTGTAATGAAACCCTCACGCCCTATCAGTCCTAGTGTTCCCTTCTCCTCATCAAACCCTCCGAGGTACAGCCTAATTGAGACTCTCCTAAACATCCTATATAATAGAGGTAATATGCTAACTGGACCTAATGGCATCATAGTCTCAACCAGGCTGCACAGGCACAGGAGCTGGTGGGCGGGGATGGGGCGGGGTCTTGTGCCACTGGGACATGAGGCTGCCACAGGGGACTGCCTCCTACCCCCATGGAGATGCATGGTACCACCTGGCCCAGAGGGCAGCGCACCAGGCAGAAGGGGGGTCATCAGGATGGGGGCAGAGCCTTCACAGAGAGCTCTCAGCACTCCTCTGCTGGGGTCTGAAGGTGGGGAGAGGAAGGGAGAACAGATAGGCAGTTAGGGGGATCAGGCCAGGAGGGAAGAGCAGTTAGGGCCATCAGGCTGGCAGGCAGCAGTTAGGGGCATCAGGTAGACAGGCAGGTGAGCGCTTAAGAGCCAGTGGTTCTGGATTGTGAGAGGACTCCCAAATTGGAGAGGGTGCAGGCCAGGCTGAGGAATCCCCCCACCCCCAGAATTTCGTGCATCAGGCCTCTAGGGTAACATATATTTGCATATCTAATTTGCAGCACAAGCCTGGTGAATAGGTCCTATTTTATCTGCATTTTGAAGAAGAGGAAGTCGAGGCATAGAAAGCTTAAATAACTTGCTCAACATCACAGAGCCACTAAGGGGCAGAGGTGGGATTTGAATTCCCGCCTCATTTTGGCTCCAGAGTCTATGCTCTGACTCCCTGGACTGTAAGTCTCTTCTGCTTATTTTCACTGCTGTGGTAGGAGTTCAGTGTCAGGATTGAGCCACGAGGACTGAAGCTGCCTCTCAGGACAATGAGAGTTGCATGAAAGAGCTGAGCCTGAGGGTACTGATCCCGTGTGTCAGAACAAATGCGAGAGCCACACTGGGGCCCAATCCACAAGGTCAGGAAATAGTCAGAATTAAACCCCAAGTCCAAGGGCTGAATGAAGGAACTGGGATGGTCAGGTTCTGAGAGGAGTCCCACGCAGGTTAGCATGGGAGAGATCTGGCTGCAGGCATTGAGGAGCGAGCTAAAAGGACCTGAGATCAGGAAGGGGCATCCAGTGGAGATTCGTTTTCCTCACACAATGACTATGGTGGAAGTAGAAAAAGAGGAACTGGTAGTCAAAATATGACTGGATGAGCAGCTATTAATACCAACCTTCCTAATTGCCCTTCCCTCAGCACTGAGCCTGGGGTCTGGGCCAGATTAAGCCCACCAGTGGTTGTTACATGGATATGTGTGATTTGTGCCCTACTTTTCTTTGGGGACCCACTTTCCATGATTCTGTGTGGTTCAGGTGGGCTGACCAGTCCTCTCACTGCACCCCCAGGCCCAGAGAGGAGCATTGACTAGGCTTGGGCAGTTAGAGCCTTGTTTGTCAGATCTACCGAAGACAAGTAGGTTGGAGTTGGCTCTACGTCCCTGGCCTCAGTGACTGATTGGTTCAAGGATAATTATGTATCAGCAGGACCCATTGATGGCATCAGAATGAATGATGTCTTTTCCTCTGTGGCTGTGAGCTGTATCACTTTGTGGGCTATCTCGTCTGGCCAAGTGAAGGCATGTTTTTTTGGAGAGGATGAACTCAATATGTAAAAAAAAAAAAAAAAAAAAAAAAAAGCAAAATCGAGAGAGAGCCCAATGACACTATTTGAGGATCCAGACAGACCTCAAGGTCTAGCTCTAGGCCCCTGCTGTCTAATATGGTAGCCACTGGCACATAAGGCTAGTGAGCACTTGAAGTATGGCAGTCCAAACTGAAATGTCCCAGAAATGTAAAATACGAAGCAGATTTTGAAAATAAAGTGTGACAAAAAATGTAAAATGTCTTAATAATTTTGGCATTCTTATTACATTAAAATAGAATAATTATAGATATATTGGATTGATAAAATGTATTATAATTAATTTCACCTAGAACTTTTAACTTTTTAAATGAGTCTATTAATTTTAAATTACATGTGTCTCACATTATATTTCTATTGGTTAGCACTTCTTTGATTTCTTTAGTTACAGTAGCCAGTAAGTCCCCCTTTTTACTGATTCTAATTTGAATTGAGTTTTTGTCACTTGCAAATGAGAGTTAGGACAGGCACGTATTAGGGGGCAGCGTGGGAGGTTAGGAAGACACGGGCGTGCCCCGCAGAGCCCTGCAAAAGCCCCCAGGAGGGAGACCACAGACCCTTAAGCTCTGTGCACGTGGCTTCTGTGACCTCTCAAATCACATCCCTTGTCTTCACTTCTCTACTGAGTGCTAGATACAAATTTACAAATGTTAGCTAGATATTTCTGCTTGGCCATTCCTCACCACAAAGCCAACATGTTTATCACCAAACTCCCAGGTCCTTCTGGCCAACCACATTAAAATATTTCAAGTAATTCTTGACCTCACCACTCTCCCCTACCTCTTGATTTTCAACAAAACAGACCTGAACTAGATAGGATAAACTGTAACGGTCCTCTTTAGTTGAGTATAAACAGAAATTCACAGATATGAAAACCAATTCAAAGTCTGTTGAATCCTTTCCCACACTCTTTGCCTGTCATAACTCTTCCCAAGTGACAGAAGCAGGCATTTGCTGCATTCTGGTCCTACTTTTCTCTAGAAGAAAGCTCCTGGCTATCTTTTCCTGAAATTACAACTGCTTGGGTTCAATGATAAGCTTGCTTGCACTGCCCTCTTGTGGCACAAACAAATGTTGGTTAGTAGTGCACCCAATAAAAAAGAAGTCAGGATTAGTTACAGAAGTTATTTTAATTTGGTTTTCACTTGCTTATTTGTTTTCAGACAAGAAGAGGCATATAGCATTTGACTCATTAACTTATAAAATTAATACCAGAGACCAAAACTTATTCACTATGCTAAAAATAACTAAAAAGCATACTTTAATATTATTAAGATTGAAAGAGAGAGATTAGGACTAAGAGACAAAGAAAGACATCAATAATGAGGCAGATACAGAATAACATTTTAAAAATAAAGAGATAAGGGAAGATACAGCGAGAAATACAGAAAAATACAAGGAGAGACTTTTAAATGAGAACAGCAATCACTTAATAGCATAGGGTCTATGAGTGTTACATTATTTTCCCCAAAAGAATTCCCAGCAGTTTAAGACAAGACTGGGGACCTTTTTGAGTGGTGACTAAATAGGGCCTTCTGAGTAAGATAGTAAGTAGGCATTAGAACTAACAGTCAGGACTATGGACAAGGCTGGGTGGGCAGCCTGGGCTGGATGATGACAGGTGTAACACTTCCTCCTCTGTGCCTCAGACTTAGCCTTAGTGGAGCTTCTCTCAACTTCCTGTAGGAAGGATATAAAAAGCTGAGGATAGAGGGATACAAACTAACCAGTGCACTAGAAACAAGTGACAAGGCAAGTCCATCCTACTGAGGACTGTACTAGTCAGCTCTAGCTGCTGTAACAAAATACTATAGATTGGGTGATTAAATGGCAGGAATTTATTTTCTCACTGAGCCGTTAGCTGACTTTTCACTGTGGGAGATATTCTAGGGAACAGCAACCTTGGAACTCTGAACATGGGATAGTTGTCTCACCAGACATTATAATTAATTGAACTAAATATTGCAAAGAAATCACATCATTACCAAAGTACTGGGCTTTCAATTCTATCTCAGGAAGAGTAAATAACAACAACAAACACAGACATGGAACTTTGGGATTATAATAACTCTGAGAAGCAGGTGGTCCAGGGTGGGGAAGCTGAAGCCTTTTCCTTGAGCTTGCTGACTGAGGCAAAAATATTTTTATTGATTTTTAGAGAGATGGGAAGGGGAAGGGAAAGAGAGAGAGATACATGGAAAAAGTGCAAGAGAGACATTAATCCGTTGCTTCCTGCATGCCCTGTACTGGGGATTGAGCCCACAAATGGGCATGTGCCCTGTCCTGGAATCGAATCCACAACTTTTCAGTGCATGGGACAACACCTAACCAAGTCACAATGGCCAGGGTGGCACACTTTTTCTGTAAAGGGTCCAGTTTCTGTTGCAAGTACTCAACTTTGCTATTGTGGCATAAAAATGGCCATAAACCATATATAAGCAAATGAACATGGCTGTGTTCCAATAAAACTCTCTAAATAAAAAAGGGCTGGCTGCTGGCTGCTGGCTGCTGGCTCCTGACTGCTGGCTGGGTTCCTGCAGATCATAGCTCCCTGGCGCCTGATATGAATATGTTTTATAATCTTCTCTCTTCTTAAAGTCCTGCCATCACCAGAACCACATATATTCCATAGTAATCAGGACAGAGGGGAGGAGCTTGAAAATTCAAGGTATTTGTTTTATGCTTCTCCCAAAGCAAATGCATTGCTTCCTGTATTTCCAAGACTTATTTGCTGTGGCCCTTGATAAGTTTAAGTAGATACCTTTGATCAACAGCATTTGAAAACCCTCCTGATCCTGAGTTAGTGAACAGAGTTCTAAGTGTCTGCCCCACTGTCCAATATCAATATACAAGTTAAACATCAAGATCAGGACACCTCTACCTGGCAAATATGGGATTGAAAATAATCCAACTCCAACTGCACTCTGATTATAAGAGGACTCTATAAAATGTTTCCAGATAAAAACAGAATTCAGGGTATCACTAACTAAAGTTAAAGAGAGGCAGGTGGGATAAGAGCACATGCAATTTTATTAGACGTTTCCATTTTGCCTATCAGGCAGCTAAGAATAAAAACAAATGTTCTTCTATAGCTTCATCAAAGGGTATATAATTAGACTCATGGGCCTTGCTGGGAGTTAAGTGAGATATAGTATATCCATATTGTTTCATGTTTCTCCTATTCACACTGAGGTAAAGCATCTTTTCATATATTCATTTTTCTAGTCACTTCCACCCCTATCCCACCATCCATGCTTCAGTTTGGATAATTTTCCATCGTCTTGTCTTTATATGAACTTATTTTTTTCTGTGTCCATTTTGCTATTACAACCATCTAGAACATTTTTACTTTTAGTTCAGATATCAGTTTTAAGTTATATAATTTCTATTTGGTTCTTTTATATGGGGTTTCATTATCTCTTCATTTATTATATCTATTTTTTTTATTTTAAATCCTTAAATATTTTTATACTACCTATTTAAAGTTTGAGAATAGGTTGAGATCGTTTCGGCCCCAAGACCGCCAGGGACGGCCGGGTATGGGCCCGACGCTCCAGCGCCATCCATTTTCAGGGCTAGTTGATTCGGCAGGTGAGTTGTTACACACTCCTTAGCGGATTCCGACTTCCATGGCCACCGTCCTGCTGTCTATATCAACCAACACCTTTTCTGGGGTCTGATGAGCGTCGGCATCGGGCGCCTTAACCCGGCGTTCGGTTCATCCCGCAGCGCCAGTTCTGCTTACCAAAAGTGGCCCACTAGGCACTCGCATTCCACGCCCGGCTCCACGCCAGCGAGCCGGGCTATACTACCTATTTAAAGTAGTTGTTTGCTAATTATAAAACCTCTGTCATCCATGGATATGTTTCTATTGATTTAAAAAATATATTTTATTGATTTTTTTATAGAGAGGAAGGGAGAGGGATAGAGAATTAGAAACATTGATGAGAGAGAAACATCTTTCAACTGCCTCCTGCATACCCCCTTACTGGGGATGTGCCCACGACCAAGGTACATGCCCTTGACCAGAACTGAGCCTGGGACCCTTCAGTCTGCAGGCCGATGCTCTATCCACTGAGCTAAACTGGTTAGGGCTGTTTCTATTGATTTTTTTTTTTTTTTTTTAAATTATGGATCACATTTCCTTACTTCTCATGTCTGGTAATTTTTGATTGTGTGTTAGACAATTGTAAACAATACATTTAAAAAAACAAAAACAAAAACAAAAAAACCTGGCTTCGGTTGTCTTCATTTAAAGAGTGTTGGATTTTATTCTATTGGGCAGTTAATTTAACGGAGGATCAATGTGATGTTTTCAAGGAAAGTTTTTTTTTTAAAAAAATATGTTTTATTGACTTTTTACAGAGAGGAAGGGAGAGGGATAGAGAGTCAGAAACATCGATGAGAGAGAAACACCCATCAGCTGCCTCCTGCACACCCCCAACTGGGGATGTGCCCACAACCAAGGTACATGCCCTTGACTGGGATCGAACTTGGGACCTTTGAGTCCGCAGGCCGACGCTCTATCCACTGAGCCAAACCGGTTTCAGTTCAAGGAATATTTTTAAGCTACATTAGAATAGACATACAATAGACTTAACTCTACGGCTAGAACAAGGCAACTCATTTTTGTTGTTTCTGTGGTCTCAGTTGAATTCTTGGAGTGTGCAGTTAGGCTTCTTTACATTGGCTGGTTGGGATACTAACATCTCTGTGTGCACTCTATGACTCTGCAGTCTCCACTCCAATCTGCACAGATCTCATCCCCAGTAGCTATTATTTGTGGGCCTCATCTACTCTCATCCTGTGCATGTGAAACTTAATTTTTGTTCAAAGTGTCAATACCCTTTGCAGATGTCTTATTCTCTAGTTCTGTGAAGCTCTCTTCTTGTTAATATAAGGTTTCACAAATTATATCCCCTTGGGGTCCTGATCTTCAAGCTCTGTCTCTCAGGCAATGAAGTCTGTATGCTCTGCATGAACATACCTCCCTGAATTATGGCCCAGAAACTCACAGGGAGTTCATAGGGTTTATCTCTCCTGCTTCTCCTTTTTTATAGGCTGCTTGTTGGCCAACATCTAAAAACATTTGCTTCATAGGTTTGTTGAATTTTACAAAGAATTGCTGTGAGAATTTTAGTTTGGCATTAGTCCCTTTTGTGGTCAGAAGCAGAAGTGTCGTCTGCATTGTTTTTTCTTGTCCTTGTTACTTAGCATGATGTTTAGGAGGAAACTTTATAGATTAAACAAACAAAACCTTTTCTGCTTCCATTATCCTACAGGATCCTGAAATTCTCATCCGTGGAGCTGACTATAAATACTGGTGAGGCAAAAGTAGGTTTACAGTTATTTGTATGGAAAAATAATACAGTAATCTTACATAATAATAGAGAAACATGTAAATTGACCATACCTCCACTATGCCCACAGCCAATCAGAGTGAGTATGCAAATTAACCCAACAAAGATGGAAGTTAATTTGCATACATGCCTGGGTCCTGGGAACCTCCTTGGCACCCAGGTCACTCCCAACTGGCCCATTGGATGGAGGCTTTAGGCTTGGGAAGGGGCTGAGCCTGTGATCAGAGGAGTGGGACATCCTTCTTCCTAAGCCTAAAGCCTGGGGCAGAAGCTAGAGGCTTGGGAAGGAACTGAGTCTGCAATTGGAGGTGTGGGTGGAGGAACTCCTTCCCAAGCCTAAAGCCTGTGATCAGAGATAAGCGGAAAAAATATCAATGGAATCATATCCTCAGGTGAGGATAAAAAGAAAAATAAAGAAATGTCATATCCTATGAAAGAAACATTTTGAAAATGCTTAAAGAAAGTTGTCATTTTTTCATGGTGAAGGGACTGGAGTTCATGTTGATGAAAATACCATGGTGATGGGCAGTGGCTGCAGCAGCGGGGTTATAGGGCTGGAGCCTTCCCCTGATCAGCCTGGTCGCCTCCTGCAAAGGGAGACCAGGCTGCAGCTTAGGCCTAAGCCATCAGTAGGAACATCCCCTGAGGACTCCCAGTATGTGAGAGGGGGCAGGCTGGGCTGAGAGACCCCTCCCCAGTGCACGAATTTCATGCACCAGGCCCCTAGTTAATAAATACCAGTACAAGAATGAACTCTGTGTTTTGCAAACTCACATCTGGAAACCTACTTTTTCCCACCCTGTATGTTCTTAGCTCTGTAGCGACTCTCTAAATTATCATAGCTACCACATTTGCTTTGGAGTTTTGGCAGTTTATCACATTTGCCCGTGCGCTTGTCACCACCTTGACCCTCAACTCTTATGGGGCTCTCTCATGGCCTGGGCTCCCTCTGAGTACTCTGGCCTGAACCTTACATCTCATGCCACAGCTGTGCCCTTGCCCAGCACTTTTGCTTTTGTATATAAAATCCTGAGGGAAGATTCAGTTCTTCATGGAAAAGAATGAGAGGAGTAAGCCTCACCATTCACTGTGGAGTATAAACACACTCCAGTTCATGTGGGCATGGCCTGAGAATTTAAGCCAGCAGCCTCTGGGGTGGTCGCTGCTGACAGCACACCCTTTGCTGCAAACCTCATCGGGATTAATAGTGCTTTGCCTCCAAAGCTTCGACCCTTTGCGGCAGTGAGGCTGTCACTTCCCTGGAATTATGGATTCATACAGTGCAGCTGCTTAATTCCCATAGAGAACCAACACAGTTCTCCCTGTCATGCTGAGATGCTCTTTACAAAAGCTCTTTGCAAAAACAGCATCCCCACTCCCAGCCTTCCCTTCTCCTCTACCAGGCATCCTGATGACAATGTGCAACTGTTCTAGCAAAGGGTATAGGGGTGCTGATCCCTTTCATTACTATATCAGGCTGAAACTGTGGGCTCACATGACATCCCGTCACAATTCCATTTTGTCTTTTCTGGCTTAGCTTCTCCAATTTTATTTTTAGAAACCCACATATCAAAGGAGAAACCGAGGGAGATTTTTATGTCATATGGGTCTTCGTAAGAATCTTGAGATGCAACATGCTTTTCTCCCTCCTTACAGTTATGCAGTCTCTTGCTGGAAAGGGCACAGAGAGACCCAGCCACACCTTTCTAACAATGATTACCATCGATTAGACCTGTTATGTCCCAAGAGAAGAAAAAGTCCTCATGTGATGGTGCCCCGAGATGCAGACCTCATTTAGGACATTTTCTAGAGAATATTTGACATGTCATTTAATACAAATGTTGTTGTGACTAGACTCAGAGACCTTTTACAAAGAATTCTCAGGCGATTAATTTTATCTACCATGGTCACTGTTGCTTTATTTCCTCTTCAGCACTCTGACAATTAAGATTTCTTATGAAAGGATTAGTTAATTGGAAATTTAATTTGGAAATACCACACAATGAACATTAATTTCATAGAGAAGCCAAAATATCTTGTGTTGCCAGTTGTGATGTTCTTTACCTGCTCTGTGTGGCTGAAGACTCGGGGTACCAAGCTGATATTCTTCACTGAGGCCCTTGTGGAACCCACTCTTTCCTCAACTTTATTGCCAAAAGCATCCTCTTTAGTTGTTGTTTGGATACCTGGGTAATAGAGATACCTACTGTGTCTGGCCTTCTGTAAGGGGCTGTAGGAGAAGGAAGTTCCATTCCTTTTCTCTGTATCATACTCTCTGACTCTTCTGGTCCTCCCCTGGCTAGTTCCCTCCTGTGTCTGACTTCAGTGTTTCCTTTACTGGCCAGTGTGCTGCTGCTGGTCTTTCCCTGAGAGGCATTCCCAGTCAATTATTCAGCCTCTGCCGATCTCTCTGGTGTGTTCCTATCTTGCAGCCATATTGCATTATGAAACATCTTCATGATGAACAATTCAGTGTAGCATTCAAAATTAAAAACATTCATCCTGAGGCAACTAGGAGCTCTAGTTTATTAGAATGTGCTTTAACAATAATGTGATATTCCTCAGAAGCAGGTTATCAAATTACCGTTTGACTCACTGGGTGGTAGGTTATCTTTCTAGGGACCCAAGGGCCTAGTGACCCTCTCTGAATTTTCCCTGGTTTTCACCTAAGCTCTGAGTTTTCTCACAAGAGCTGATTTTCTATAAGGAACTTTCACCCAACTTCTCTCTTACCACACCTCTTTGAGAAAGAAGAGCCAGTTTGCTTCCTCCTCCTCCTCCATTTGTTCTTGGTGAACAGCATTGTGCTATTGTATTAATTAAGGTTACACTTTACATAATACACCAAGCTCAGTATCATGTTAACGAACAGAACTTTAAAATTCTCAACATTTCTTGAGGAACTCTCTAGGTAATCTCAAATTCTTCCTCATGTTTCTTAAGTAAGTGGCATTCCCTTTATTTACTTATTTATCATTTGTTTGTTGATCCTTAGCTGAGGATATTTTTTCTATTGATTTTTGGAAGAGATGGAGGGAGGGAAGAAGAAGAAGAAGAAGAAGAAGAAGGAGGAGGAGGAGGAGGAGGAGGAGGAGGAGGAGGAGGAGGAGGAGGAGAAGAAGAAAGAAGAAGGAAGCAGAAGACGCAGAAGATAGAAGCAGAAGAAGAGAAGAAGCAGGTGGAGGAGAAAGAGACGAGAGAGAGAGATGGACGAGAGAGAGTCGCGAGACTTGAGCGCTCGCCACCTCGCTATTGTTTGCCTCCCCTCCTCCCCCTGCCCCGGGCTCGGCCTAGACACTTGAATCCAGGCACATGACCCGGAATCAAACCTGCCAGGGCAAGTGGCCATTGCCTTTAAAGAGCTGCTGAAGTCCACCTTTAAAAAGGCAGAGTTACAAAAATGGTGGATGCATTGCTTTCTGTATTTCCAAGACTTCAC